TGGTTTGAAAGCTTTTAATTATTAAAAATTTTTATTTTCGTTTTACCCTCACAATTATTTGTTAAATCCTGTATTACCTTTGCTCAAATATTATGTAATAAATAAGTAGCTCTTTTTTTGATTTATAATCCTAACGCCGGTGTGTAAAATTTTATTCTTCATATCTGATTTAATTTATATATTTTTTAAAAAAATCCAATAAAGCTGATGAATCTGTGTGGGGCTTTTTCTTATACATTTTTATTTCTATTATCTTTTCAAATTGACAATTTGACTGAATATACAAGTATACTATCTTACTAATTTAAACAAAATAACTATCATTTCCATATATTTATACACAATCTTTTCAAACATAGTATAACTTGATAATTATCATTCTGTGCAATTATCAAACTTTACCAATCATTAATTATCTATAAAAAAAAAAAAAATCAATCAAACGCAGTATATAAGAGAATCCTATTATTAAGTTTGATATAAAATTTTGATCTTCTTTGTTTTAAATTAAGAAAAAAGAAGAAAGGGATAGGATAGTACGGGGAAAAGATTTGTCGCTGTCAAAGTTTGATCTGTTGTGCATGGACCCTTGCAAACTCTCAAGGTTCCATAACAACAAGAGAGAAGAAGAGAGTGGCCCAAATAAGCTTCAAACGAAGATCCGATCACAATCATCTTTGTTGGTTCTCGTGATGTCTGTTTCTTCACCAATTAGCCCACAGAGGCCTAAGACTAATTGGGCAAAAGAGCTGGTCCACGAAAAATCTCGGACAGAATGTTGTTTGATTTGGAAGAGGGTGGCTTTCTATTCATTAGAAATGAATCAATTTATGTATATGTATTAAATGTGTATAATGGCTGCTCATTTGATACGTTAAATTTGTGAATTTCATGGGCTATTCGTTTGGCAGATCTTTGTTTTTTCTTTTTTCTTTTAAAACTCTAAGAGGATTTGGAGGGCTATTAATATCAGAATATTTTTGAAAACTTCCAAGAATCTAGTTTTTGCTATTAAATGCTCAAAGATATTTTATTTTCTTCCAGTTAAAATCAAAACGGGGGAACAAATATTTTTTAACAAAATTCAAAAAAAAAGAAGAAGAAACCTAATGTTATGCTTAAAGGCATCCATAACAAAGCATGCTGTTATGAATTGTGCCTTTCCTGGCAGGTTTGGAGATTGATAGCCACATAGGTGGTCATTCTGATATGGAATAGGATCATACATACATACGGACATGGTCCATTCTACTGTAATGACGAGAAAACGAAAGAAAACCTAACTTACACACACACACACACACACACGTCTTATGCCTACATATCACTGCAACTTTTGAGCACACAAGCTAGCACGAATGATTATAAAACTATATTATACGGACCCCCAAAGTCAATATCAATTGTTAATTCGATAACTATTATTACTGACATTCAACAGCATAAACCCAATAGTTTTTTAAAGTGTAACCACCTCTTTCTACTGTACACATTCACATCCTCGGCATTGTAATTTTGATCTGCCTACTTTAAATATAAAATTCATTGATATCACTTTTGATTCAACAGTAAATAAATTATAATATTTAATTAAATAAATTTAAGACTCAATTTATTAATATATTAATAAAATTACAATAATTAATTAATTTTATTTTTATAAATCATTATAATTATGATCTGTAATAATTAATTAAAAAAGTCATGATAAGTTAGTAGCGAAGTAAATATTTTTTTAATTAAAAAAGTCGTAGTATATTGTTTGACTAATTACACCCCCAAAAAAACCTCTCACTCTTTGGCAATTAAAACGCCACACCTAACCAACTGACACAAAAATCAATCCGCACCATTTATTTCCTTTTCTTTTAAAGAGCAATAATTCACTAAAATGTGGGGACTGCAAAAAATACTTTTTCAAGCTATGGAGATCCTAATCGCACCAATCAAACATACCGTAACACCATTTGGCGGCAGAACGCCGATGCTAGTGGCGATTTGTCTGGCTGAATTGCTGCGTATCGCCACCACGAAACGTACCCAAGTAACACGATACGGTGAATTTACCCCCCTGTTTACTGGTTATACATTAGACTGAAAAGCTTGTATTTAAGGAAATGGACAAATATTTCAGTCTCTATCGTTGCATCTCTTAAACGTCTTCCCCACACAAGCTTACTAAAATATTTAACTTACCGCAGCTTTTAAATAATTTCAGTTCCTAAGTTGATGGTATTCGGGTGCTTTTTTTTTTTGAACAAGTAAATGAGATCCATATTATATAAGTTGAATGAAAGAACGGGATCTGAAGAGGAAGGGAAAGCACGTGTTCCCACGTGTTGCTCGAACATTTCAGGAGCAACTTGGCAGGGATTTGACCACCAACAAAACTACAAAAGTACCTAACAATAAATGGCAGAACCTTTCGTGTCTCTTCGCACGCCGTTACATCATGAGACTGTGCCTAATTATGAGCCACCTGTTTGTGGTGTATGGGCCATATTTTGGTCTCTCAAAAACAATGCTACGATGAGGGTGACAGCGTTGCGTATCAATTCCAATTATCCAGCTTTCCTCCAAATAATAAATCAAACTATCCAGCTTTATCTTTATATAATAATGATAAGATAAAGTTTCAATTATATGGATCATTACAATAATGTCACAACAATATTCTTGTTTGATTGATCAATAACTACAATTTTATTGATTGAACGGACAAGTTTGGTATCCGAGAGAACGAGGATCTTTAGGTCTCCAGTTTTTTAATTAAAAAAAAAAAATTTCTAAGTATTTATTTATTTCAAAGTTTTGAAGTTAAAACAACAAAAGTCTTGGACTCTTTCAAATAAGAGAATACGTTTTAAGCATTGGGTTCTTATTATTTTATAATTTTCACCCTAGTTTTACACTAGATTAATTTTTTGAACGACAAAATTGTATACCAATTTTCGTCTTAATTCGAATTTCTAAAAATAAATTTTCAGTTGTTAATTGTATTAGACATGATGTTTAACACCTCCACGTCCAAAGATCCAACAAACATCTTTATGGGTTTCGAATATTTTCTTTAGCAGTTAATTGGAAAATGAAGTTTCAGGTCCTAAAGGAAAACGTGGAAACTTCACGCTGCATTAGGTTTTTAACCCTAAAGCAAAGCTCTGTTTCGAGAGAGGAAGGCTGAAGACGTCAAATGAAAAGGTTAGGAGGGGTCCATCTGTCATTTGCTCCGTCTGTGATTTAAAGATCCGAACCTAGTGCTTTGCTGCATTTAAAAGGAGACTACCGTTTTAAATTCAGCCATTATTTTTTTACTAATAATGCATGGTTTTAATTAGATTACTATCTGATCGGATTCTCTTACTTAAAAGAGTAACCCATTGATTATGATTTTGGATCGTCTACAGTTTCAAAATTTCTAAACCCCGGACTGGGTAGGCTTCTATTTTCTCTGACCTACACAAAAAGATTCAACAGACTGGAATCACTTTCTTGTCTGTCTTCACAGCTGTCTATAAACCTAAGCTTTATGCTTTCCCAACCGAATAGACACTAAAAATTTGTCAGTGAAGAAGTCACGAATATTGCGGCATTATCATTTACCCGAATTCCGACGACGCAAGTAAGATACTTTACAAGCGTCCAGAGGAAATTCGAAGCAGTTTGGGACACACAGAAACATGTTTAAGTCATGGAGGAGAGACAAGAACAAGATCAAAGCAGTATTCAAATTGCAGTTTCAGGCAACTCAGGTACGAATTTGACCGAGAGAATGCACATGATTATTTTCTTTTATTAGTAAATCTAAAAGGACTATTTGCTTAATTTGAGACTTAAGCAGTACGAAGGGGACTATATTCAAGGTATATGAGCTGACCCAGAAAAAATAATGTGCCAAAACATATTTGATGGATAGAAAGATACTTACTCGTACGTATCTGGATTTGCAGGTGCCTCGGGCTTAAAAAATCGGCTGTGATGATATCTTTGGTGCCGGAAGATGTTGGGAAGACAACGTTCAAGCTGGAGAAAGTTCCTGTTAAAGATGGAACGTGTACATGGGAGAATCCAATCTATGTATCAGTGAAACTAATTAAAGATCCAAAAGCAGGAAAAATCAATGAGAAAATATACCATTTTGCTGTTTCAACTGTATGGATGACTGCATTCTGTTAGTTTCGTAACAGCGTATCCGCATCACTATGAGTTAACTATCCTAATTCTTATGAATGCTTTTAGGGGTCATCAAAATCAGGTTTTCTTGGAGAAGCTTCAATTGATTTTGCAGACTTTGTAGCAGAAACTGAACCGTTGACTGTGTCGCTTCCACTTAAGTTTGCAAATTCTGGTGCTATTTTGCATGTTCGTTTTCTCTATCTTCTTCTTTCCTTCCTTTATGACACTACTTTCGATTGACTACATCAAAATTTTTACTAATAGTTTCTCTATGGTCTCTGAGTAACTCGAACTCATTGAGGATGTAAAAGTCACATTATAATCTTTCATATTAAATGTTGATGAGACAGGTGACAATTCAGAGTATCCAAGGAGCAATCAACCAAAGGTGACTATTAATGAGAATCCTAAATTTATAGACTGCAATATTCTTTTTCTTGTCTGTCTTTGCTTCTTATCGGGCCTCTATATGTTTGAAATAACATCTCAGATGTACTGAAGAAAATGGACGGGTTACACTTCAAAATGATGGAAGCTTGAGGAGCGAAGACAGCAACTGTGATGCAGATGCAAACGACCAAAATTTTGAAGATGTAAGGTTCATTTCAGCAACATTAAGTGTTTTCTTTTAGCACAGTTCAAGCCGAGCATCAAATAAGAGGAGCAGAAGCATTTCTTATAATCTATACTCATTTATTCTTGTTATTTCACAGGATGCGCACTTGAATGTAACTGCAGGTCAGGATGCTAGACAAAATGTCAGCTTCAGAGCATCCACTGGCTCAGATGCTACTCTAGCATCATGCTGGGACAACAGATCAGAACCAAGCCTGCAAGACGTAGGACTGCAAAGGACTACCACCTACAAGCAATCATCTGCTTGCAACCTACCTGACAGACAAAATTCAATGCCACCAAGGGGAACAATTGATGGTATCATGACCAAAAAAAATTTACACCGGAGATCAAGCACAGATTGGTCTGGGGGTTCAGCGTCAGATGGAAGTTTTGTTAAGTCAACAAACAGCCCTGATGATGACTTTCAGAGAGGCTGGCAAGAGGAATCTGATGGCTCCGTTGATAAACTCAAAAGTGAGATCACCATTCTAATGAGGCAGGTAGAAATATCGGAACTAGAACTGCAATCTCTGAGGAAACAGGTTATGAAGGAGAGCAGAAGGACACAGGATCAGTCCAAACAAATTCTTAGCCTCAAAGAAGAGAGAGATGCTCTACATGCAGAATGCGAACAACTCAAGTTACAGAAACAAATTGATGACGCAAAAGCTGAAAGCCAATTACAATCTGTCAACCAGGATTCAGTGACTCTCCTAGAAGAAATGAAGGAGGAACTTAATTGTGAAAAGGACATTACTACCAATCTTCGGTTTCAACTGCAGAAGACACAAGATTCAAACTCCAACTTAATTCTTGCAGTAAGAGATCTTAATGAGATGTTGGAGCAGAAAAACAAGGAAATATCTTCTCTCGCGAACAAGTTAGAAAAACAGAAGAATTTTGAAGAGGTTAGGGAACTAAATACGAAATGCAATATCAACGAGGATAAACATCAACAAGCATTGCGAGAATCAGCCAATGAGCTAAATGATGCTGAGGAAGTGGATACCTTGAAACAAACAATTATAGACCTATCTGGCGAAATAGAATTTTATAGAAGAAATAACGAAGAGCTAGAGATGCAACTGAAGCAACTAATGCAAGACAATGGTACGCTAAAATTGGAAAAGCAGGATATATCCTTCAAGTCAAAACAACAAAGCTCAGATGCTCAGGATACTATAAAAGAACTTGAATCCCGGGTACAGATGTTAGAAGACAAAATAAAGCAGCAATCAGAAGGATACTCAGAATCTTTAATTTCCATTAATGAGCTCGAGAGTCAGGTCAAGGGGTTAAAAAAAGAAACTGAGGAGCAGGCACGGGCTTTTGAAGATGATCTTGATGCCACAATACGTGCAAAAACAGAGCAGGAACAAAGAGCTATACATGCTGAAGAGGCCTTGAGAAAAACAAGGTGGAGAAATGCTGTAACAGCTGAGAGGCTTCAAGAGGAATTTAAAAGGCTTTCCGTGGACATGGCATCTAAGCTTGATGAGAATGAAAAGCTGGCACAAAAAGCAGTTGCAGAAACTAATGAATTGCGTACGGAGAAGAGAAGACTGGAAGAAATGCTCCAACAGGCCAACAAAGAGCTCGAGCAAATAAGGGATCAGAATGAAGTCAAACTTGAAGAGCTTTCACACCAATTACAACTGAAAGAAAAACAAATAGAAGAAATGTCTTGGGAACTAGACAAGAGGTCCGAGCAACTTAAATATGCACAGAAACACGGGGAAAAAAGGCATGATGCTTTCTCGATGGAAATGCAAACAAAGACAGAAATTGGTGAAAAAGAGATACTAACTCAAAGGTGGAATAGCGAAAGAGAAGAGTGGGAGAAAAGATTTGCTTCAGCAAAGGAAGCAGAAAAAGCACAGGAGCAACTAATTGCTGTTAGTTCTTTGAAGGAGACGAAAGATATCTTGATTGAAGAAGTAAAGGAGAAAGAACTGCAAAAACAGGTATGCCAATTAAAGGGAGAGCTTCAGAAGCAGGAAATAGACATTGTCAGCAAAGAGAAAAAACTTACTAATAACTGTGGTGAAGCTACAGTCATAGATGCAAATTTGCTTGCAGGCAACAACAGCTCAATACCTGCATTTGCTAGGTACAACCACAAAACTCTTCTTTTCTGATTTTGCACGTCACTACAAAATTTATGTGAAGTTGAGGCACCTGGTAATTTTAGTAAAATTTCTAACAATTATTTTCTTTCTTTATTTTCGTTCTTTCACAGGAAGAAAGAAGCTAGAGCCATCGAAGACCTGAAACTCTGGACCTCCAACACCAGCAAAGATGGTAACCCTGCCAGATTGCTTGATGAACTGGCAATTCTGAAGGAAAGGAATAAATCTATGGAAATTGAGCTGAAAGAAATGCAAGAGAGATATTCAGAAATAAGTCTCAAATTTGCAGAGGTAGAAGGTGAAAGACAGCAGCTTGTGATGGTTGTAAGAAACCTCAAGAATGGAAAGAAGAATTAGGTTATTCAGGATTTTTTAGCTGAAATACAGGCATAACATCCGAAGTATTTCTAACCATGAAAAGTTTATCACTTGGAATTATAGATCTATACACATTCTTTTATTATGTAATTACTTATTGCCTGTCCACTAAGAACATTGAGAATTATGCGAAGTTAATAAAATTCAGCCAAAGAAAGGATAAGATATTTTGGTCCAGTAGATCTTCTCACTAAAAACTGCATTCGTGCAAACAGTCGCTACCCTTGGTTCATGCTATGACCTCATAAAGCTACGACTGAATCATGAAAAGTAACCTTCTTGTGCACTCTATATTTGGTTTGTAGGGCATTGAATTCATGCTAGATATTGTACAAAAGTAACCTTCTTGCTCAAACTGTATTTGGTTTGTGTAGCAATGATCCATGCTAAATATTGTTTTTTTAGCATTAAATTCATGCTAGATGCTACACTCAATCATACATCTCACGTTTACATGCATATGAGACATGCAAAAGAGATGCCTGCAGTGGACTGCAGATTAAGACCAACTCATTTAAGGAGTTATTCAAAGGTCTGTGCGCTTCAGGCATGTAAATGCGATATTAGCAGACTAGCACATTGTGCAAGAGCATGGTAAAAGATGTAACATTAGAGCTTAAAGGTCTGGTCAAGATACCTCAAACAAAATTTGCATAACCATTAAGCTGATACCAATCATTCCAGGTCCACGTCAGTCTAAGCTCAACAGAAAATCCAAGTTAGACGAGATTTATGATACCTGATTCTAAGCAAGAAAGTGGTTTTTCTTTCGCTTTGGGAGTGCAAATCGGCATTAGTGAGGGGAATATAAGGATGTCATGTAAAGCCTTTAAAAACAACTGGTAATAAGATGATGCCACACCAATTTATTGGTATGAGCCTTCCTGCTTTTCCAATTTTTGTTTTCGGAACTTTTTCAAATGATGAGCACTGCCATCACTCCAGACCAGCTTTGTTTGGCTTCCATTTTCATTTATTGCAAATGATAGGGTCTGCATCGGACAAATTGCAATATATTAATCATACCGAGCCCCTAATACGTGCGCACAAGTTCAAATGTCAACAAAGAGCCATTAATAGGTACCTGTCTTGCTCTTTTATCAACTGGTGTACATGATGAAGGAAGCAATGCTGAATTCCTTTTTCCCTTGGGTAAGCATGATGATTGACTTGATTGCTTCTGATTCTTCCGCCCTGGGCTTTCCCTAGGAGTGCTGCTTCGTTGATACTTAAAAAATTCCAAAATAGATGGGCTTTTTCTCTTGGCAGTCTTCGATATATTCCTCGAAGCCTCGAAACAAGGGGTAGAGGAGTCACAAAGACGGGCCTGCTGGCGCAGTCTGCTTTTTTCTCTTATTCTGTTAAGAAATTCTGTTGTCCAGGGCGAACCCGGTTGTGAGTTGGCGGAACGGATAGCTTTTGAGAATGGTGTTCCACCATAATACGATATCTCTTCTTTGAATGATAACCTTTTCGAACCTGCAGATTTCTGCATTAAGACCTCCTCTAAGCGTCTTTTTGGTGTTACTAAAGGTAACTTATCATTGTTACCATCTGTAACTGCATTATCATTAAGTCCTTGGAAATTTTGTCTTTGATCCTTCAGGGAACCATGTAAGTACGTATCAGAGTTTATCTCAGCAGCTGTTGGGAAACTAGGGTAATCAAAAGACAATCTTCTTGCAATTGCAGACTGTTTTGGGGAGTCTTCTTCTATCTCGTTTGTCAGAGACAGCGAATTAGCTGCTGGATATATGTCCTCAAACGGTGAGGAACCGTCAGTGAGATCTACAAGTTCCCCGATGAAGTCCTCATGCAGATTGCCAGAGTTACGGGTGCTCCACCAACCCAAGTTGTCCGTCAGAGATAATTCTGTTTTCTGATTTTGACCCAAAAATTTTTCTTTTAAAGATTTATTTCGCATTGTGACTCCATATATTCGAGAATCGTTCTGCCTTGGAATTCTGGTAGGATTGCTATTCACAGCGAGACCCAATACCCGTTTCTGATCAAGCATGTGCTCTAAAAATGAACCTGGCTCTCTATCCTCAGCAAATCTATCCGGGTCTTTAGGCATACAAGAGTCATATGGTTTGGGTACTCCAGAAGGATTCAGGATCTCATCAGTGATTTGGTTGAAGGGCTCGGACTGCAAAAAGTCATCTATACTTATGTCAACTTTTTGAGGACCATTAACGTATGTTTGTTCCCTCATAGAATCAAGCTTAAAATGACACTTATCAGAGTCAGGACCCGAAGAAACCGAAGACGAGCAATCTGTCATTATTGATTTTGAGTCCTCTCGCTCACCATATCTACACAAAGCACTAAATAAAGCAATACTTTCAACTGGAATGTAATATCTTTGCAATGCAAGGATCCTTTGCTCATTCGTCAGCTCCAAGAATTCATTGAGCATGCCTCCTGAAGACAGCATAGCATGCGCAGTTAGTGGATTAATTGAAGGAAATTTGGTAAGAAACGATTCCGCAAGACTTTCTGACTCAAGCATTTTGGGATATAGGGCCCTGGTCAACTTAACAGCATATCCAATGCAACCCAATATGATTTCAGCGGTTAAGTCAGCTGAATAGGAGCAAAAGAGCTGTAAATCAATGCCCAGGCTTGCTGCAGCAGCATAAAGTTCACCAGAAGATTCCATTACCATAGAGAGGGAGGTGGATTCCCCCTCAAATATCTGCAGGAAAGAGAAAAATATAGCAGAAGATAAGTAGAGCTCTGAATTCCTATGCTGTGAAGTTGGTGGTGAACCATTCAATAACTGCAAATATATCGGTGATGGTAGATTTTTAGTCCATTAACAGAACTAATCAATTTTAACTGTAGGGCTTCTTTATAAATTGTTACGAGTTATAAATCAGAGAAGATAACTACATGCTTCTACAAATAATAACAAATACAAATCAGCTTCGCAAGCCAAGAATAGAATAGCATTCATTTGGAGACAATATTTGTCCATTGCTAAATCTCTTTTTTTTTTTCTAAATGTAGAAGCATTTTGCGTGGAAGTTCAATTGTGGTTAAAAGAAAAGCAAAAAACAATAGATGCTACCATCTAAATGACGAGAAGGAATGGAATTTACCAGGATGCAGCAACTGAAAGCAAAACTCAGCATTGTCAAAATAGTTGTTGCAATATTCTCAATGCACAGAGGTAAGCATGAAGAATCTTCAACCAAAGCAGCTGCTTTCATTCCAATGGTTCTGCAATCATACCAGACAAGGCAAATTGCAGGACTGAGCATAAGATCCACAGGCAGATTTGAATCCCGTTCTATAACTTGTGCACCTTCTTTCTCCATTGCAAGAATTTTCTGGTAGGTACTTCTTCTGGATATTATCATTTCCTTGTCAAAATTTTGAGTGTTTACAACAATCACTGTAGTAGGGGAAGACATAACATTCTGCTGAATAAGATCAGATGCCACTGCAAAAGAGGAACAATCTCTTCTGCCTACAGCCTCTAGAGATCCCATATTGCACTTGCCTTCAAGAGGAACAAAGTTCAGCAATTCCTCCAACCTCTGCTTTTCCATAATTTCATCCAGGGCCTTGCTTGAATCAGAATCTCTTTCCTGTGATGTGGCTGGTGTAACTAAGCAGTATACGTCTCAATCATATATTTACAAATTGACAGCAATCCAAAAACGTTATGCCAAATATATAGTGGTAGTATGAGAACAAAACTCATGAATTAGAGAAAGGAGCTAATTCCAAAAGAAGTTAGTGCATGAAATGCCTCCAATTCAATGAGACCAGCAATAAGAGAAGTGAGAATAGCTGAGTTTCTTAAACATTTTAATGTTCATTAACAACAAAGAATCTCAAATCTGATAGTTCCACAACTTCATCGTTCAGATCTGGAATTTTATCAGCACATAGAAACTATAAAGTGTCTACATATTTGTAAGACAAGAAAGATTAGCAAAGGAAAGAACTGAAAAGCACTTTCAATCTTCAAAAAAATTATTTTTAGTTTGCTCTAAAAAATACCAACCAAAAGAAGTGAAGAACACTTCCAGTGTTATAAGACAGTATTTCTGGTTTTCCTATTTTGACATGAAGGTTTGAATAGATATTTTGGATACAAAATGCCCATTGGAACGCCTTTTGTTCAATGAAATAGTATTTGCAACTTCTGGCTACAGCTATATTCCAGAGATTTTATTTGCACAGCATACAGATCATCTGCTTATCAAGATACATATTATTCTAACAAGCACCAGCTGACATGCAATTACATATTTACTGTGTATTCCTTGTATTAAATACAGCAATTCTTGTGGTTTGATCAATAAACAGATGAGCTGTATCTATGTAACCAAATTAAGAGGAAGACATACCATGGTCATTTTGATAATTTGGGGCATACCAACACCTTCGCAGAGTGCACTCAGAGCACTTAAGTTATCCACTTCTACATTTATGAAATGAAGATGAGGCAAGCTAGACCATTTTGAGGAAGGGAATGAAACTCTAGATGAGCGAGATGAACCTCCATATTCAAGAACAATGCTGAATATGCCAAAAGGAAGAGTTGTGGAAGCTTGCCTTGACAGGAAAGAAGCCACTTGATTAATACAACTCCTTAACAAGACATAGATCTTACTATATGCTTTTGAAATAATTGACTGATAAAATAACTTGAATATAACCACAGCAAAATAAATATCCAGCAAAGATTTGCATTCAACTATTTCAAGGCATTATCAACCATCCACTATGAATTGTAGCTATCTGCATGCTTTATCCGCTAGGATTCAAACTAAGGTTTTTCAGTTCCATATCTATGTCCAGCAACTTGCAAAATTATACCAAGAAATGCAGAAAACAAAAACAGACAAGCAACAACTGTTCTGCAAGTTCACAATTTTTGCAAAATGCTCTTTAATATCATTATTTCCTGATGCTCGACAGTAAGGGTTGGTCATATTAAGGTATTTGAAATGTGAAGCCTTTTTGGCATTCCTTCATGTCTATATGTGCTTTCATGTGCCCACCCTTCTACAAATAAGAAATAGCCTTAGAACACCACAAAGGTGATTCGAGGCCGTAACTTCAGGTAAGAGGTCGAGGTGATTTGAGGCCATGACTTCAAGTAAGAGATCTCAGGGTTTACTCCCAAGAAGCTAACTTCAAAGGATTGGTCTTTACTTCACTAAGCATTTGCCTTCATCCTACTTAGATCATTCAAGATCTAAAAGCACTAAGACTAGCCAAATCGCAAACCAAACTTTATGATCATATCTGTCAAAATTTGCCAAGCAACCATAAGCATGATACCCTGTATATGGAGCCCATACAGCTCTACAAGGAAAAAAAAGAAAAAAAAAAACTTTTATGTATATTCCTCGACATACATGACCACCGGCATAATAGTGAATAACAAAATCGTATATTCATTGATATAAACATGAATTCAAATTTTTCCATTTGTTTTTCCTTACCAAATACATTTTTGTCTTTTGATGTCCTTAACTGTAAGTCGCATTAAGCAGATGAAAGACATTTGACGCCAACAGGGATTGTAAGAATAACTTATCTTTTCAGGGTCAGAACTTACTCCTGAGATGCCAAGAAGCAATCTGTAATCAACACAGCATCCATTTGAGATTTTGTGCGCTCAGATGCTTCACATAGGCCTGGTTGATTTCCTTGTTTATAACTGCATAGCTCGTTACATGATAATCCCATGGACATAACTAACCTCTTCAATGAAGACCAAAAAACTTGTTCTGCAAATATCAGTACTTTGGAACTACTCTGGCTAGTATTTGACTGTAAAATTTGCTGAATGACAGACAATGAGGGATGCGATCTACATATTTCTTTGTCAACTTCCACATGTGCAGCATCAATCAATGAGTAGAGCGAACTCAATCTTGATTTTAAGGAATCCAGGCTTTCACATAATTTCTCAAGATATAGATAAGTTACATGAATACCATAGAAGCATGTATACCATGCAATTTGTTTAATTGCACATAAACTGACAAATGCCATAATGTTTTCATCTTCCCAAGAATCTCTTCTGCCCAAAAGTTTTTTCTTAATGCAGTCCATCAGCTTCTCTTTTGGAAGGCTGAGCAATTTAAATTCATCTTCTGCTAAAAATGAACTTAAATCAGTTTCACTCTGCAAGATGGAAAGGTACCTCTTTTCAAAGTGATCAACGAGAGATACAATTTCACTAGACAACTTAACAGTATGAGAAATTATATTCCACTGCTTTAATTGAAGATTACTCAATGAGCATGATGCTTCCAAACCATCGGATGGAACCTCTAGAGATTCAGCACAAGCATTAGAAGCCTCAACTACAGATCCATCATTCAAAGGACCCAAGAAAAGATGTAGATTACTGAATTTGGATAATAAGGCCTTCTTTTCAGATTTATATTCCGCTGGTTGTTCTTCAATTCCTGGTTTTGGTTGTCGAATGTCCAACAACTCACCAGAAATGACTCCAATGAAATTATCATCAAGTGGAAAACTGTAATCTGAATGAGTATTAAGCAATTCTTTATATTCTTCCATGTTACACCCATTCAAAGCATCATCAGAAAAAATGAAGTCAAAAACAAAATCCGTCTCATCAAAAAGTTCACTATGGAAATTAATGCTGCACCAATTTATTTCCTTTAGCATATCTTGATAAGAAAAACATACGTTATTGCCATGTTTATCATCCTCTAAAAGAAACCAATCCAGGTATATTCCATCAGATGCAGATAAGGGCTGAGGCTTTAAATCAAGCAGCATCTCCTTAATAGTTGCATATAGTGACTTTATCTTTCCATGATTGGAAAGAATAGGAACAGGCAAAGATTTGAATGTGTCATCTACCAAGGCTAGCTCATGACTGACAATCAAGTTACTGAAATTTTTAAAGTTCGTGTCTTCCTTGAACATGCAATCGCATGTTTCAGTTTTATTGGTTGGTTGCGTAGAAAGGAAGACTTCAAACTTTTGGGACATATCCACGTCAAGGACCTGGGGTTCTTGAAAGATTAAGGGGCTAACAAATGAAAAGTAATGATCAGATTTTGGTCCACAAAATACAGAGCTTCCTTCAGTCTGTGACATTTCCACCACACTTATGATATCCATTTCCACAAACATACCAAACGATTCTGAGTCAGAATCAATAAACTGCTTTGACTGAGAATTATCTGCAAGAAACTCTAAGACACCATACTTGATAGAGCCCAGAGATTCTCTCTCATTAGCAAGTAGATCATTGTTTTTATTCCAGTTTTGGGTTTGGATTTTATCAAGAAACAAAAGAAGTTCAGCCTCCATAGACCGGCCTGTCAATTTTGTTAGACTTATTTCATCCACTTCTAGAAGGGGGAATCCACAGTGTTGTAAGAGTATTTGATCCCAGGAAGAACCACTATCTTCTATAACTGGAGTCTTTTCTCGAATGTGATACTCAGAAGAAACATAATCAAGAGAATAGATTGCTTGTTCAGCCTCACTAGAGGACTGCATAATAAGCCCTGGTTTTACCATGTCCTGCAACAGACATGCACTTACCATGAAAAACCTAATTATAATAGAAAACCTTTCAGGACCATGAACACTCTGTTATGAATTGCCAACTACAGTTGATAAAGGCAAATGCATTTCATAAATGGATCAGCATAAACTGTGCTGATGGTTTATGCATTGAAATTTTTAGTTTTTCATTAGTTTACTGTAGTAATTATGACGAAGATTTTTTTTCTGAAGCAACTACCGGTCTTGAATTAACTTAAGCATACGCACCCATAAATAACCCAAGGTATAACGTGATCTCAATAAGAGATACGCATCTACTTGATCAACTATGCTTTCCACGCGGACAGCAAGTTCCAATAAACCAAAAGGTATAAAATGAGATTATTACTCTCAATGACCCAAGGTAATTTTTTTGCAGTGTTTTATAAAAGTTATGACAATAAATTCACAATTATAGCATATTTATGTTTCTCTTCCTTAAAATCATGGATATGAAAAGATAATGCTGAATTCTTATATTTGTAATAGAATTCACAATTTATTTTAATATTAATAATAATATTTTATTATCATTTAGTTAAATGATAAAATAATAAATATGATAATAAAATATTATTATCAATATTAAAATAAATTATCAAATAATAATATATTTAATATATTACACAAATAATTGGATAATGAGCATAACATTTATATCCACAACAGTTGCAATAAATCAAAAAGTATAACATGAGATTATTACTCTCAATGACCCAACCTAATTTTTTTGCAGTGTTTTATGAAAGTTAAGACAATAAGTTCACAATTAAAGCATATTTATGTTTCTCTTTCTTTAAAATCATGGATATAAAAAGATAATGCTGAATTCTATCATAATATCCCTTTTAAACACAGTTGAGTAAACCTTCAAAATAAAACAGAAATTGGGAGGAAAATCAAGCATTGGAAATCAGATACTTAGGAAGGCCAAGATTTTTTTTAGGGGAAAAAAAAGAAGCAGATACAATTCAAATGTTACTGTATAGAATTATGAGCTAAACGAATAATCAGACATTTACCGGATGGTTTTCTATCTCAGGAACTTGAGAAAGATTTCTGATTTCCCAGTCCTCATAAAAGCAAGGAGTTTTCTAGAAAGTGCAGCAGGAATATATGGCGTAAGCATAAATTTCTAAAAACACCCACTAATAAAGATTGGCAAGCAAAATTTTACCAGGAGGCTATCCGGCTCTGGCACCTCAAATTGGACCACTTCAAACCTATGTGTATTCTTACCGTCATCAGCAGTCTCATCAATCTGCTGCTGAGACATAAACCTAACCTCAGAGAAGATCGTAAGGAAACCAAATCTTAAAAAAAAAAAATTGGCGTTAATCTCATTTGGAGAATGCTGTCATAGTTATGGTAACTAGACCTTCATAGTTTCGGACATAAACGCCCACTTATTTCCCACATCCTTTTCTTCATAAAGAACCTCGGCTTCCTTCTGTATCAAACAAAAGTTCATATGCTATGCGATTATGAAATAACGTTAAAAGCTGAAAGGATCATAAACCAATAAAATCTCATTAACCTGTCAAAAGAGAATATCAATTAATAATGCAGCAAAACAAGGAACCAGAACAACGTCTAACTAGAGTAGTCACTTTTCCTGCTACAATCATTTTTTCGACGATTCCATAAAACAGAATTTTCTGTTTACTCGTGATCCCTTTGTTAAAAACACAAGACCTTGCTTTATAGTGATTTTTTCTTAACTGAAGCTAAACTACACAGCAAGAAATAATTTGGAGATATGATCTTGAGCAAAACGAACAGTAAAAGTTATTTATGGTACGAAAACATATATGATCATCTTCTAAGCTGGGATTTTAGTCCTTTTAAATTTTCTGAGCCACCAAGACCATCTTCATATTGACATTGAAAGTCTTTTTCCAGAGTATAATGTTTAAATTCTAATATACACCCCATAAATAATTGCAAAAAAAAAAAGACCGGCTCTGCAAGTGTCACTAGCAGATGATCAAATATAATTGAACGCTATTCAAATATTTAATAATTCTCTCCTGACCTTCACGAATGAACAAACAGTTACGTTTAAACACAAAATTAATATCATGTCCATGACCAGCCGCCATTTTCACCTTCCAACCACCGATTGTCAAAAGAAAAAAAGAAGGCAAAAAAAAAAAAATCCACCAAAAAAAATGTCAATGAACTCGCTGATTTACCTCGAAGAAGCCTGTATCAACAACTACAGAGCACAAGCCCCTCCGCCCGTCGAAGCAACTATCTCCATTCCTAGAACTAGTAGCCTCAAAATCTTCATGTTCGACGCCAAATTTATCCGGAATAACATCAGAAAAAAACTTCGAGAGAGCGGCATCGATAGGTAGCCTCTCGATCGTGAGAGGGAGATTGAGAATATAATCGAAGCGGAGAAGCTCGTCTTCATTAGAGAATGCGAGCCGTAAAGCAGGGAGGTGAGGAACTGGGAGATTCAGGAATGTTAGTGTTTCCAGGGGAGAAGAGGCAAAGTAGTCGATGTTCAGAAATCGAGTTCGCATATTTTCCCGCAAATTTCATGAACAGCATAATACGCTCTCGTAGTGATGGAGAAAATAACGAGGGAGAAATAAAAAAGCTGTAACGAACTGTCTCTTCTTTTTTGTGTGGGGGAATGAATCGGTCGAATTTGAAATTGGCGCTCAAATTCTTTGATTTACCTTTATTTTTATTCTTATTTTCTTTTTATTTATTAATTGATTTAGGATATTTTTGTTTAAATTTCCCGTAACACTCTCTGATGAAGATTATCCTCTCAGTCACAGCACACTCATAACTGCACGTATGCCACGTACACAAGCATACTCGCGACACGTGGCACTCTGGGAGACGTGGCAGATTTCGTCACCGTCACGCAGAACGTTATAATACGATAGCCTTCTTCGTCGCTGTCGCTTCAAGGCAGGAGGCAGTTTCTTTTCTCTGTTGACATTTTAAAGTTAGGAATCAATCAATCTCTGTTTCTGGCTATGGAGCCTGTAGTGACTCACCAAAGCCGTGATCAGGAGCAAGTTCGAAACACTCAGATTGTTGGGCAACCACAAGGTGTGAAACGACGTCGTGATGTATTACATATTTTGTGATATCATACCGATTCGTTACGTTCTCTGCTTTGTGCCACTGATTTCCCTTTTTTTTTTTTTTTTTTTTTTTTTTATTTGCTTTTTGTGTTCAAAGAGGGAGAGGAGCAAGAAGAGCATCGTCATCATGCCAAGAAATCGACTAAGGTTTTGAAGAAAGTGAAGGAAAAGGCAAAGAAAATAAAGGACACGCTTACCAAACACGGCCATGGCCATAACCATGATCACGATGATGGACATGCTGATCATGTTCCTGATGATCATGACTTGGATGAGGAAGACGATGAAGATGAAGAAATGGAAGAAGACCCAGAAGTTCACGGCGCACCAAGTACGTATATACACACGCGCATGCACACACAGACATATGTTCATGTATTAAGTCTTGAAGAAGTGATTCAATTTTGCTTGCAGTTTACGAATCTATCGCTGGGAGTGATGTTGTAACTGGGCAACGAGAATGGTTAAGTCATCCTGGAAAAGGGATATCAATGGCACCTAAGCATGATCCTATATATTTTAGAGAAAGCCGTGTTACTGATCCTACGAAGACCTTTATTCATGTCCAAGAGGAAGTTCCAGGGCAACCGAAAGTCAACCTTGAGAGACCGAGAGGACTGGATGAGGATCCTGCTGCCCCAAAGAAGAGCCCGGATGCTTGTAATACTCCTTCAAATTATCAGTCAAAAGTCACCGACCCCACCGGGAAAGGCAAAGTCTCATTTTTACAGCATTCTGACACACATACATACATACGCACACATACACACACGTGGATTATAACAGTCCATCTTCATGTAACAGGAGAGGAAGCAGAAATGGAGCCAATTCTTCGTTCGCTTGATAAAATGAAAGTGTATGATGAACCAGAGCATGAGGCTAAAATAAAACCAGAACCAGAAGAGAAGTTTCTTAGAAGAACAGACGAGGTGTTGTCCCAATTCCCCACAGGAAGCCATGACCAATTCTCTCCCGAACCAATTCCTCCAAAACCCGTTAATGTCTCCCCTGAAAACCACCCTCAGTCTGACCCGGGGGCGTTCGCTGATAAGATATCGTCTGCTACGTCTGCAATTGCTGGTAAAGCAATCTCTGCAAAAACCGCCATCGCTTCGAAGCTCGGGTACAGGGAAAAAGACAGCACAGAAACAGATAATCAATACACCCACAATACGGCGTCAGCGTCGGACTACGGAAAGAAGATCGCGACCACAGTGAGAGAAAAACTAAGCCCAGTATATCAAAAAGTTGCAGGAGCAGGGAGTGATGTGATGTCGAAACAGCAAGGCAGCGATGAACCGGGGGCTAAAGGAGAGAACAGAGGAGTGTCAATGAGAGAGTACGTAGCCGAGAAGTTGAAGCCTAAGGAAGAAGACAGGGCTTTATCAGAGGTGATTTCTGGTGCTTTGCATAAGCGTAAAGAAGAGTCTGATCAGAAGGTTGATGATGATAAGCCGAGAGGGAAAGTAACGGAGTCAGAAGAGGTTGCAGATAGGTTGGGGACTGGAGATGGTGCTGAGAAGAGAGTGGTGGATAAGTTTAAAGGCGCTCTAAGTTCATGGTTTGGGAAGAGTGATGAGCCTCGAGGTCAGACGCCTCAACAGTCAGTTTCTCCTTCTTCATATGGTAACTTTCTCATCTCCTTAATTCACGAAGATGAAAATTGAGTTCTGTCTGACTTTTGCTTGGTCTTCTTTTTGCGTCAAGTGGAATTTGTGGAGTTCGCTGCTGATTGAATTTAAAACAGAACCTGTAATTTGATGCATCACTGAATTACGAATCATGTTCTGATTTTAAGCCATGTTTATATTTAACTCAACATTTATTTATGTTTTTGTGGATCAGCGGAAGACGAAGGATTTCCAAGATTTGGTACAGGAGAAGTGGAACAGACTGTGACTAGCGAGAGAAGAGTCGAGGAGTGAGGCAACTAGTCATGTCATAAAAACTCAAAATTGTAGACCCAATTTTATGTTTACTTTTGTTGACTGTATGGGATTGCTAGCTCATTTGAGTTGGCAGTGTTATAAGTATTTTATGTAGCATCTGGGAAATTTCAGATAATGAACTAGTATTATAATATATAGTTTTCATAATGTTGATTTTAACCCTTTTCAAAATTTACTAGCTCCAATTATGCTGTGGGCAGTGTTGAAATTGTATAAATTGCAATTAAAATCGATATATTTGAACAATTAAAATCTCAATAAACTAGTTGCCGCTTATCCAAAATTGTGGATAATTTATATAAATTAATAAAGTTGTGGGATTCATTAGTTTATAAAATATAAGTTAAATATACTATATCATAAAAGTTAATTTCTATGATATCTTTAATAAAATATTCTCATAAAAACTATTAGAATTTTTTTTCTATTTTTTTAAAATTTTAATTTAAAATTATTTTTTAATCAGATTTTTTTTTTATAGAAAAAAAAATACATTTTCACTTATCACATACTAAGCTTCGGAATTTACAAGACCAAACAGTTCCACAATTTAGATGCCGTGGTATCGTACGATTGGTCACCCATCGTAAAGCATAGTTCTCGACGGGCACCCCTGTTTTACTGCCTGAACCCGTTGCCTTCTCGACCCAGCAGTTCTCATCTGTTAACAGTTCACTCAAAAAAGCAAAGCCTTGGACGGGATGTCGGCATTTGATTCAACCAGTAAACGTACAACATGTTTTTGCTAAGTCTCTTGTTCCCTGGTATGTTCAAACTCTTTTGAAACTCTTCCTTTCCCAAATCCTTTTCCTAATAGGTTCTAATTACTTATATTTTAGGGTTTATATTCGTTTTAATGAGCTTTCCTAGTTCGATTAAAACCCTAGTTTACACCTGGGTGTTTCCAGTTTAATGGGTTTCTCCCTATTTGAGAACCCAGATTTTATCCAACTCAATTTATCGAGATCTATCAAGCTGCTGGATTCCTCTAGTAGGGTAAGATTAGGGAGATAATGGGGTATTCCCAATGTCGAATTGACAAGCATGATGAACGCTTTATCTTTATTTGGCACAAGACTCGTGCACAGAGCTTCGTTTCGTTTTTCATCTTTGAGGGAGTTATGCCACCGTAGTTTTAATGATGGGGATAAAAGCGATAATGGGTTCCATCACATTGAGGATCCCTTGAAGAAATTCTGCGGATATTCAGATTCTGAAGATGTTTTAGATGAGAAAGTTAATGAAAGCCGCCGTCCCAAGGGCTGTTTCTCTGCGAGGCGGCCTTTTTTGCAGACAGTGAGGGTTGATGCAAGAAACGTCCTTGAGATTTTACAGCAAGATGGTCCTGGATATGATGCTAAAGCTGCTTTAAGTGAGTTGGAAATAAGGGTATCAGGGTTGCTGGTTAGGGAAGTTCTTGTTGGAATTTTGAGGAACTTGAACTTCGCTAGCAAGACTAGGTGGGCGAAGTTAGGATATAAGTTCTTCGTGTGGTCCGGTCAGCAGGAATATTACAAGCACACTGCTAATTCATATCATTTGATAATGAAGATATTTGCAGAAAGTGAGGAGTATAAGGCTATGTGGAGACTTGTCGATGAGATGATTGAAAATGGGTTCCCGAGTACCGCACGAACATTTAACATACTGATTTGTACCTGTGGTGAGGCAGGCTTGGCTAGAAAAGTTGTGGAGAGGTTCATTAAGTCAAAAACATTCAATTATCGGCCCTTCAAAAACTCTTATAACGCAATTTTGCATTCACTTCTAGCTATAAACCAGTACAAGTTGATTGAGTGGGTCTATCAACATATGTTGGCTGAAGGCTACTCTCCAGATATTCTAACTTATAATATTGCGATGTGTGCTAAGTATAGATTGGGGAAGTTAGATCAGTTTCACAGGCTGCTAGATGAAATGGGTAGGAATGGATTCTCTCCAGATTTTCATACATATAACATCCTTCTCCACGTTCTTGGGAAAGGTGATAAGCCACTTGCAGCACTTAATCTGTTGAAGCACATGAAGGAGGTGGGTCTTGATCCAACTGTTCTTCATTTCACCACATTGATTGATGGTCTTAGCCGGGCAGGGAATCTAGATGCCTGCAATTATTTTTTTGATGAAATGAAAAAAACTAGGTGCATGCCAGATGTGGTTTGCTACACTGTAATGATCACAGGCTATGCTGTGGCCGGGGAGCTCGAAAAGGCTAGAGATATATTTGATGAAATGACCATCAGGGGACATCTTCCTAATGTATTTACGTATAATTCCATGATTCGTGGGCTTTGTATAGCAGGGAAGTTTGAGGAAGCATGCTCTATGCTAAAGGAAATGGAATCGAGAGGCTGTAATCCAAATTTTGTGGTGTACAGCACCTTAGTAAGCAATTTACGAAATGCTGGAAAACTTTCTGAAGCTCATGAAGTAATAAGATACATGGTGGAGAAGGGGCAGTATGCCCATCTCGTCTCAAAGATCAAGGGATATAAGAGATGCTAGCACAGTGCATTTGTAACATGAAGGTTATTTATTTCTAATTTGGAGGATATAATTTATGGTTCTGATAAGTTAGCACCATGTACCTGCTGTCTTTAAGAGCCTAAGGAGTGCGCCATTCTCTCTCCTCCTACAGTTCCTCTTCCTCAGCAGTGTGAGCGAGATGCATTGGGGAGCAAAATTTGATCTGTTATATTTTTCTCCCCATGAATGAGATAATGGTTATGCAAAATTTGTTCTCTGTTACAATTTTTTGCTATGAATGAGATAATGGTTTCAACCATTTAGCAGAAGCATTCAGCAAGATATTCTTGTGGAATGACTCATAAAGACAATCATAGATTCAAATGTACATTAGATGACCGAGAATCAGAAGATTATGAAGTTAGAATAGGTAATTTACTATTTTGGTAACATTTTCTTTTATGCTTGTGTACCATCTAGCTTTTTATAATTTTCCCCAATTGTCGCTACTATCGACTTTTTGTTTCCAGTGAGGAGATAGTATTAAGGCCTGAGGTTGGCATGTCTGGGGATCTATATGCTCCAGTAACCTTCAAATTAGCTTATGGGTTAATTTGAAACTAATAATAACATATCATTATTTGCTAGTTCTTTGATAAGTTACACAACATTTATCTTGTCCAGTTCTTCTGTATCCCTCCTGAATTTCCTGCGGTATGGTATAATGCTTAATCAGAAAACTTTTTAGGTGAGCAATCCAGGGAAAATTACAGAGAGCCATATGCGTAAGTTGTAGAGCCATATCCATATGCATTTATGTTACCTTTAGTAGTGCAAGACTGAACCCGCAGGTGGATCTTCAGCTCTGCACCTCTTCGAACTGACTACCGAGGATTGCTTACTTTTAGAATTAGCAATTATGAACTAATTTTCATTTTGTTTTGGTCAAAAAGAACTTTCTGCCATTTTGTAAAATTACAGTTTGTTATTTTTTCTCCTTCGATCTGCCCTTTCAGCTCTATTGCAGACTTTTGCTTGATTCTGGAAAGAACTGTTGTATCTGGTAAGACTTCCTTCTACACTGGTGAAAAACGCTTAGGCCTAACACTGCTAAATTCTCCACAGAAGAAGCTTGGCCCCATTGTCTCGGGTCATGTCAGCAGTGTTGCCGAGTTTAAGATGCCTGATAACATTTATTTGATTGAACCTTACAAATCTATAGAGTGATGAAAATGTTTTCTAATTTTTAATTAAAAAACTTTGGGTGTTTGAAGTAAATTGTGGTGTCATCTCCAAATATTCTTTTGTCGTTCTCTCCATTCCCAGCTAAGAAATGCACCATTGCTGTCGTGTGTATTTTGAAATCCAACTCATGGCGTCTTGTCATGCATTACGACATAGTTGTCCTACGACATCTGAAATTCAAACTAATGACTAATTAATTATTTTTTTTTGGGTACCTTACTTTTGATATCTTTATTTATTTCTTATTAGATCTCCACTCAAACTATAATAAATTAAATGTCTCCTTTATTTATGAATGTAAGAAAAATGGAATTCCAAAAATTATTTGCAGAACGACAGATAGTTAAGATTTTAAGTTTTCTTCTGAACTTTGTGATAGAGAAAGAGTACAGAGTTGAGTTGCTTTATGAAGAAGAATCTGTTGGCGTATTTAGACTTTACACCGTACCTGTTTACGTGTAAAGGACAATGACCCTTCAACAAATTATAGAAGAGGAAACTCGTGAACCCCAAGTAAAATCAATTTCCTTTTTCTGTTCTTTGAAAATTTTTCCTTTCGACATCAACACAAACCTGGCGATTCCTCACAAAACCCATTTCCCATTTGGGGTTATTGTGAGAAATTTGTTTATAATCAAACCAGTTCAATGTGAAAATAACAGTATCAGATAAAAATACCAGTCATGAAACTTGCCGCCTTTAATTACAGCTACTGAAGAAACCCAGATGGAATTACTTAAAATAGTTACTTACAGTGGGTGGATCTCAATTCTCAAAAGCTACTACTTTAATGGCCTGTATATATATATTCACCATGTTATTAGCAAAAGTAAAAGAAAAAAAAAATGGAATTACAAGCAGATCGCCTGTGATTGATCCTTCATGATTTTCTAACTGATTTGTTATTTTTTCTCTTCCTTTTTCTCTTCTTTCTTTGGTTCTTCCTTCTTCTCTTCCTTCTTTTCCTCTTTCTTTTCTTCTTTCTTCTCTTCCTTGGCAGGCCCAACGGTGAGTATGTCCACTTTACCTACTTTCTTCAGCTTCTTCACCACTGCCACTGTATCCATCTGTCCGATCACCGTCAGCTTCTGATCCTTCAAATCCGCCGCTATTGAATCAACTCCTGCAAAATCCATCCTTCCCATCAACCAACAAAGAATCATCATAACATCTCGCTGTTAATCTTTTGCTTCTGATTGATACTACCATCAAGACGACGAGGTATATCCTGATTTTTTTTTCTGATCAAGACAATATTTTTTCTCAAGACAATCTTAAGGACGAGTGACCAAATGTGGGAATAGTGCAATCAGGAGTTATAAAATAAAAATCAGATTTTTGGAACGCACAAACATTAATCTAGCAAAAGCAGAGCGATCGATCAGGTACCGTAGATATCAGCAGCAGCTTCTATGGCTTTCTGCTTCGTCTTGTCATCCGTCATTGTCAAGACCTTCAACACTATCTTCTGCTCAAGAAAATGCAAAAATGGAAAACTATGTAAAGTGCAGTACGCATATTCTTATCTGGGTAAATCATAAAACGCCTGAAAATTGAAGAAGAAATTGAGAATATTGAGTATGAAGAAAGGAAACCTGAGCCATATTGAGGAGGAAGACGAACAAATTAGGGAAGAAAAAGGAAAATTGAAGTGAACTTTTTTTGGACAAGTTGGGGTGGGTTTTAAAAGGGGTAAGACGTGATGTTCTTGGCCTGCGAGAAGGAAATTCTTTTGTGTACGACTCGTCATAGCCGACAAGTGGATCCTTACACTCATATTATGGGCCACATGGTACGAAATTTGGCGTACATGACGAAAAAGAACAAATGTTTTTCCCTTCAATTTCTTTAAAAAACATAAAGATCCCATCCAACGGTCGGGATTATTTCAAATATTCCTAAAAGAATATATAGCATCTCTACTCACAACATATTTCATTTTCTACCCATTTAAAATTCCAAAACCAAATAAATTAAGAAAACTTTTGCTCTTCGCATTTCCAATGCCTTTTTTAACTCGTCAATGCAAATTTTAGCGTACTGTAATCAGAATTAACGGGTGGTCTGCTCAGAAGTTTTTCGTTTTGAATCCAAAAAGATAAAATTGGTACTTGAAAAACAAAAGTAACCAGAGTGCGACCGGAGCGTAATACAGGCGGGGGCCATTCGTAGAGGAAGGGGCGGCTCTTTTAAAAGATTTTTCTGGTTCAATACGTTGAAAATGCAAAAGGTAGAAAGTGTGGACTTCTCTTTTCCCTTGAGAAAGAAAAAGTAGTAATAATTAAAGGAAGGACCATTTTTGAATAACATGGATTCACGGGAAGGAAGCTGAATCATCTCCTCCTCCAAAAGTGGGTCGAGAACTGAAATTCGTGAATGGGTCAACTGATGTTTTGCATATTACATTAATATTATATAAAATGGTGGCATTCGAATAAAATAGTACTTCATTTTTATAAGGCAATAACAAGTATACATAGGAAAAAAATGGGTATTATTTATATTTTTAGTTTAAGCATTAGTTTATTTAGAAGAAGTTGGATCAGATCGGGTTAAGCTTTACAAGGGGCCTAGGCATGGGTGGGCTAACACAGCTCATGAATGGGTTGTAAATCATGTATTTTCTCATGTGGGTAGAGAGACCTTGTTTCAGTTTTCTAGTTATTTATGGCTAAAATTGAATAAATCATGAAATTCAAAGTAAAATTACTGACAACACATTTCACTTCCTTTTCTCAAAAAATTACGCTGCAAGCTGGTGCAGTGATGATCCAAAAAAAGGAAAGAAAGAAAGAATGATGAGATGGTTACATGATAGTGCAAGCATGAGGATTATCATCGCTAAAAAGCGAAGCGACGGCCTCGTCAGAAGCTACAGCGACAGAGTAAAGGGAAGGAGTGTGGAAGAAAGTGTGAACGCCATTACTGACTTCACTTCTGTACGTGTCGTAGTAATGGTTGACTATATACGTTGGGTATTTGTAGAAGGAAGCGAAATGAGAGTATCCGGGAAGAAATGGCCATGGCTCTGCCTTCTTCCCTGTGCGTTTAATGGCTTTCAGCACCTTCTTCTCTTCTATCTCATATCCTCGCACTGTAATTTTCTGGATTTCCATTTCAACTTCTACTTCTTCCACTCCTATGCATTCAAGAAAAAAAAAAAAAAAACTTACCTTTGATGATTTTTCTTTTTTTTTTTTTTTTTTTTTCAAAAGAAGGATTCATCATGCATGTGTATTTTCAGCAAATGAGTAAAAAGTCCCAGATCAGAAATAAAAAGTAAAAAGTTTATACCTTTGACCTTGAGAAGAGCTTTCTTCAACTTGGAGGCACATCCTTCGCAATCCAAGTTCGGCACTCTTATCTCCACCATCTACAACACAAACCCACATTTCCATTATTTCATTTTCCATCATCCATTCTGCGTAGAGAACTTGACTCAATACAATTAAGAATGGAGATATCTATAAAGAAGAAAAACTCCAGTGTTCTCGTCTGAACTATTTTTCTCTCAACACATGGGTCCAACGAAACAAAAATAGATCAATGTACATACATAGAATCGATCATATATATCTAATCTGCATGCATAGCTTAATTTGGAACAATGCACCGGCTACTTACCGACATTGTTAAGTATAAATACAGCTCTCTCCTGACTTCGATCTGCTACGTAAACATAGAGGAAAGTGCAACGCAAATATGTATATGTAGTTGAGGGAACTTGCAATGGAATGTGTAAGAGTTGATAGATATAAATAGAGATGAGGAGAAAGAAAAGATTTTGATGCGCGAGGAGGGAGGAGAGCGTTGGGGTTTGAAAAGTGAAAAGCGGGAGGGAATTTCACGCGTAGATTAGAAAAAGCGTGACAAAGGCAACCCCAATGTCTCCCTTCTCCCCCACTCCCTGCCAACTGCCAAATGATTCCGCCCATCGACACTGCACAAACTATACGCTAATTAACGTCCATTTAAGTGGGACCCTCTTCCTTAATCATCAATTAACTCAAATTTAATCTTCATTTCATGTTTCCCACGCGCCACAAAGGAGACCATCTATTTCTGTCACGTAGAGGATCTCTCCCGCAGTTCACAAAAGAAGAGAGACAGCTTTATTTGAATCAGCTTTGACACACAGAGAAAACAACAACTCAGAGAACAGAGAGATAAAAGCACTCAACTCTGCCTTCCTGCTGTTGATAATTTTCGAGACATTCAAATATCTTATACATATTATATATATATATATATGCATGTTGTGACATAAGACCTCTTGCAAAGGCTGCCCCCACCCTGCCACCCACATAAAGATTTTGAAGGAACATATCTCTATACATATATGTGTGAGTCTATGTGGGGTGTAATTTGGTGTTGTGTCTTGGAATTAATAAAAGGAAACAGAGAGTCATTATTGGATTGTGTTTGATGGGAGCAAAATCATGGCGGCTATCGTTTTACTTTTCTTGAACCCACCAAGTTTCAATATTCTCATCAGGAAATGGATTATGGGCTTTCGTTTTGGGCCATTTCTTTCCCCAACTTAACAGTGAAGCTCTTATTTTATGGAGATAGAAAAATACTCTGGAATATATATTAAGCATTATAGACACGCAAGGCTATATATCTTTTGTTATAGAAATTAATATATATATATATATAGTTATGGAATCAGAGTTAAACCTTAGACTGCATGTCCGCTATTATATTTTTGAAGGTTAATGTATTCCAAAAATAAATAAGTAACAGATACAAAGAACTGAAAATAAATAACTTGCATTGTTTTCACGAGAATACGACGACTCTGTGCCTCTCGTTTTTCCACCGTCACCTTTCTCTCTCTTCTCAGAAAGTCAATTCTTTTCGCTTTTTAGGTGATCAGTTAAAACCTTCAGCCAGCTTTTCCTCGTTTCCTTTCTTCTTTCTCTCACTTCCCATTCCACCACACCAATTCCAAATCGGGTTCATTTTCTAAAACTCTTCCTTACTTTAACCTAAACCAAGCTGAATTAACCAATTTGGACACCATTTTGACTCTTTAAAACCTCATTTCTGTTCAATCTAGTTGAATTATGCCCTTGCGTTTCTTATAAACACTTTCTTTCTGGGAACTCCACATGTTTGTCGGAGAGCGACCGATACATAGATAGATAGAGATAGAGAGAGAAATGAGAGAAAACAGCGTGGTGCAACACCAACAGGGGTTTCAGAGGAATTCCGCCACCGCATCTGGGCGGCTTCGTCATTTCATGGACACGATCTGGCGGCCTTTTATAGCTTCCAAGTCGAAATCCTACACCCTCGTCTTCCTCCTCGTCATCCTCCTCCTCTGCGTCTTTATCTCAACACGCCGTCTCCTCGATCCGACTGTAAGTACTTCATGCATTCATTGATTTTTGCCATTGGCGATGTGAAAATGCCAAGTTTCATCAGAACGGCACTGGCATTGTGCCGTTTCAATGACGCTGCAATGTCTCTGAACACGTGGGCGTTAGCTGTTGACCGAAGATTTTAACGGCTAACATTTCCCGCGATTGTCGGTTTACCCCTTTTTTCAGAGAGGAAAAAAGGGAGCGAAAAGTCGTTGGTGGACGCGTGTCGCCTTGCGTGGAAACCATATAGCCTTTTAAGGCCCACCCTTATTGTCTTTTTTTTTTCTTGGGCGTTCGGCTGTTTGCGACCGACAGACGGTGTCGTTTCAATCATGTCACGAAAATACCCTCTGTTAATCGGGCCCATGAGCCGTTATTTATTTCTTTCACGTTCTGCAATTTTTGTTGCAGGCAGTATTTGACGGCGGACTATCAGACCAGAAGCAAGCGCTTAACACCAGAACTAGACGAGCGCGCTCTCCTGGAATTCCTAGAATTCAGATACCATTAAACTGCACTACACTTTACCACAAACGAGCCTGTCCCAGAAACTATCCGAAGACCTTCGAGGTGGAAGATGATCCCGACCGTTCATCTCCTCCCACGTGTCCCGAGTACTTCCGCTGGATCCACGAGGACCTACGGCCGTGGGCCCGCAAGGGGATCACGCGAGAAATGGTGGAAAGAGCTCAAGCGACGGCGAATTTCAGGCTGGCGATAATCAACGGCAGGGTTTACATGGAGCGGTTTCACAGAGCGTTTCAGACCAGGGATGTTTTTACGCTGTGGGGAGTCCTGCAGTTGTTGCGTCGGTATCCAGGGAAATTGCCTGATTTGGAGTTGATGTTTGATTGCGTTGACTGGCCAGTGATCAAAGCAGTTGATTATAGTGGGCCTAACGCGACGGACCCCCCTCCTTTGTTCCGGTACTGTGGAAATGATGAAACGCTCGACATCGTTTTCCCCGATTGGTCCTTCTGGGGCTGGTACATCCCTTGATTATTATTATTTCTTTTAATTTTTTGGTTAAGTATAGATTGATTAGTGTAAAGAACAGTCTAGCTTTCGTAGCTTTCTTAGATTCCTCGTGATAATTCAGTAGAATTAAGAATCTTTTTCTTTGATAATTTAGTCTGATAACGTAGTTTTTTTTTATGGTTCTACAATTTTTTTTGATTAAATATGATTCTAGAAAAGTTTTATAGCATCTGCTGTGAGTTCAAACGTACGTTTAGAAATAGAAGTGTCGTAATTTTCTTTAAAAAAGAACCTGTTTTGTTTAAACAAAATGATTTTTAAAATCTTAAGTGTAAATCCTGAACATTTCATTCTGTGAGCTATATA